AGGATGGAAGGAAGGAAAAAGGAAGGAAGGAAAGGAAGGAAGGAAGGGAGGGAGGGAGGGAGGGAGGAAGGAAGGGAGGAAGGGAGGGAGGAAAGAAGGAAGGGAGGAGTGCTGGGAAGGAAGGAACGCTGGGAAGGGAGGAGGGAAGGAGGGAAGGAAGGAAGGAAGGAAGGAAGGAAAGAAGGAAGGAAAAAGGAAGGAAGGAAAGAAAAAGGAAGGAAGGAAGAAAGGAAGGAAGGAAAAGAAGGAAGGAAAGGAAGGAAGGAAGGAAAGGGAGGGAGGGAGGGAGGGAGGGAGGAAGGGAGAAAGGGAGGGAGGGAGGGAAGGAAGGAAGGAAGGAAGGAAGAAAGGAAGGAAGGAAGGAAGGGAGGAAGGAGCGCTGGCTTCCTGAGATATCTCCTACTGGGGGGAAGAAGCCCTGAGCCTCTACTGGGGGCCTCCAGATTGGGGCCACCACAGAGCTGAAAAGAGTCCCCCAAGCCTTTGCTCTCCCCCATTCCCGTCCACAGCACTCCACATCCTCTAGTCCAGAAACATCAGGGACCTTGGGATCTCCAGGCCTTCCCAGCACTGCCTGTGGGCGGACGTCTGTGTTGGCACGACCCTGCCAGTCTTTCTGTACTCTTTAGAAAAAAGATTTGAGTTGGACGAAGACATTTGCAGAGAGATGCTTACAGCGGGAGCACTGAGCTCAGATGAGGGGCTAGCCCTTGCCCACACTCCAGACAGGCTCCTCTTACCTCCTGTCCCTTCCTTCAACTCCAGGCAACTATTAGAAGGGACCAGAGAGCTGTCCAGGAGGACTGGGTATTGGCATGATAACATGGATCTAATCTCAAACCTCTGAGGTGACCTAACTCTGACTCTAAAGAGCTGCATGGCTCAAGAGGGCCACTCACCTCTCTAATGCTCACTGTCTTCACCCATGACCAAGAGGTACCCAGACGGTTGGTTCACCAATGGGCTCTGGATTTTAATAAGCAGGGGAACTGAGAAGACTTGTCTTGGGCCAGGGGGAGGGGCACAGTACACTCTACACAATACAAATCTCTGCACCTACCTGCTGGAATCTTAAAAGTATGGAGGCCAACCACACACGCTAGGGGAAAAGGGAGCTCAGATAGAGAAGGGAGCACCAAATAGAGCGTGTTGGGAGGATCCTCCCAGGATGGGAGAAGCATGCTGAAAGTAGACTAGAGACTAAACATGATTGCCACTCAATGCCTCTTTTGCAAACCACAGCACCCAAAAGGAGAGAACAAAAGGGAGTGTCCTGCCACAGAGGCAGGGTGGGATGGGGGGAGGGGGGGGTGGGAGGGATAGGGGGTGGGAGGGATGCTGGGACCCGTGGTGGTGGGAAATGGGCACTGGTGGAGGGATGGGTATTTGATCACTGTATATCTGAAACCCAAGCACAAAAATTTGTAAGTCTACAACTGTACCTCATGGTGTCTCACTAATAAAAATTTTTAAAAAAGTATATCTTGGGGCTAGAGATAGTACAGTGGGGAGGACTTTTGCCTTGCATGCGGCCAACCTGGATTCAATCCCTGGCATCCCATAGAGCCCCCCAAGCACTGCCAGGAGTAATTCCTGAGCACAGAGCCAGGAGTAACCCCTGAGCATCGCTGGGTGTGACCCAAAATGCAAATAAATAAATAAAATTAAATTTTTTAAAAAAGACAGTCTATCTTGAGGTCTTATGGGCTTCAGTCCTGTAAGCAGTCCGGGTCTCCTCAGACCTCCTTGCCTTCTTATGCTGCTTCCTGCCCTCAGTCCCTATGTGGGAATGAATGGTGGTGCAACTATTTCCAGAGGATCGGGGGGTGGAGGCATGCCCAGCTATCCAGGTCCAGTTCTTGGCTGACCAGGCAGACTCATGTCTCCTCCCTTGCCTCCTCCCATGAAACCTCTGGGATCAGCTACCACTTGCCACACTCATTCTACTTCTTTTTATTTTTTTGCTTTTTTTTGGGTCACACCCGGCGATGCACAGGGGTTACTCTTGGCTCTGCACTCAGGAATCACCCCTGGCGGTGCTCAGAGGATCATATGGGAAGCTGGGAATCAAACCCGGGTTGGCTGCATGCAAGGCAAATGCCCTACCTGCTGTGCTGTTGATCCAGTGCCTCATGCTACATCTGAGCTCCACCCAGCAACAGTGGCCTCAGACAACCCAGGTTAGGGTTCACACAGAGCTTCTGCGTTGCCTGGACACTCTCTGTGGTCTTGGCTGGGATAGCCTGAGTATTTCTGGGTGGCCCAACGTGGGCAGGAGTATCTTGATGGTCTTGGCTGGTTGGCTCATGGGTTTGAGCTCAGCCGACCAGGAGCCGGTGCAGGCAGCCCTGGGTGAGGGGGTCCCTCTGCCCCATGACCCTCCCTCCAGCAAGTCCCCGTGCCTAGATCAGTGATGAGCAGTGTCCCCTCCATGGCAACCCGCAGGCCACAGTTGCGTCCAGGGCTCCAGGGTAGGAAAATCAGTTTCCGTTGCTGTCGGGGAGAAGCTGCAATATTTCTGTGCAGAGAGTGAGGACGCAGGGTTGGAGCTATTTTTATCATCATTTTCAGCGCTCCGCCTCAAGGAGCTATTTTGTGCATTTCATGAAGTAGGATGGGAAGAGTCTAATCTGTATTAGGCTTTCAGTGTGTGGTGGCAGCCGGCATATTTTATCCCCTAATATTTCACTTATTTCTGATGAGCAGAGTAATGCGTATGCTTTGTTGAAAACCAAGCCGGGCGTCTCAGTGTCAGGAGGCGGAAAACGCCTTCTCCTTTCATCTGCAACCCAGAGGCAACCACTGGATCTGCTGTGTTTTCACCCGTTTCTGCAGCTTTTGTGTCTCTTGGTTTCTGAGCCCGCACCGGGCACAGTTTGGCTCTCAGCCGTTTTCCTCATGGCCCCGTGTGCTTCTCTCTGCGATGCTCGGTGGTGGGTGCTCCGTGGTCCTGATGGGGTCCTTCATTTCTGGGTTCTGTGCCTCTGCCACCCATCCCAGGCTCAGGGCGTGATCTTCGTGAAAGCAGAATTCTGGGTCACTGCAGTTTGTGGATAGTCACTGTCCACTGTGGCTGCTGGCCCCCACCCCCACCCCCCCTATCCCTGGTATCAGCCCAGCCTGTACTTGGTCTCCTGTGGAAGAACTAGGAGAGTTTCGTCTGGGTTATCAGTTCCTGCTTAAAACCCTCACCATGAGGGCCGGAACGATAGCACAGCGGGTAGGGCGTTTGCCTTGCACGCGGCCGACCTGGGTTTGATCCCCGGCATCCCATATGGTCCCCCAAGCACCGCCAGGAGTAACTCCTGAGTGCAGAGCCAGGAGGAACCCCTGAGCATTGCTGGGTGTGACCAAAAAAGCAAAACAACAACAACAAAACCCTCACCATGATGGCCGGGCAGGATGAGTGGGCACAGGGAGCAGGAGGCCGCCCCACCTCTCGTGCCAAAGCCAAAGGGCAATGCTTCAAACAAAGCACTCAGTAAATGGAGGAGTGGAAAAGTGGGCAAAGGAGCCGAGGAGACGTTTCTCCGAAGAAGACACACAGCTGCCCAACAGGCCTATGAAAAGACACTCTACTTGGTCACTAAAGGAAACGCAAATCAGAACCCAAGGACGGGCCACTTCATACCCATTAGAGTAGCAGCTATTACAAAAGGGGGAAAAATGCAAAACAGCAACAGCAAAAACCAAACAGCTCAGAAGGCCGCGAGTGTGGGCGCAAGGCGGGAGAAACGGCCCGGAGGAAAACAACGTGACACGGCTTTGGTGAAAAAAACCAGGAGGGCGTTTGTTCAAAGAAATGAAACCTGGGTGACCCAACAATGCCCCTTCCGGGTGTCTCCCCAAAATAATTGGCAACAGGGTGTTGACGAGAATAGCTCGAGTGTTTGTGAAAGGATGGACAGACAGACACATGTAGTCTGGCCCAACCACGGGCCATCAGGACAAGAGAAGGCTGTTGTGACCACGTGACGATGAGTATGAGCCTTGACTAGTCTCAGAGTCAACCAGATGCAAGAAGACGGACAGTCTCTGATTCTATTATCTGCAACTTGCCGAGTAGCCCAATGTGGAGAGGCAGGAAGTGGAAGGGCCATCGCTAGGGCTGGTGGGTGGCAGAGGGGGTTTGTTTAGGGGGTGCCCCATTATCCAAGTAAATAGGGATCTGGGAGGGATGGCGGAGATGGCAGTGCTGTGGTGTGAAAGAACTTAGTGCACATATATATTTTTAAAAAATGGTGAAAAACGGTCCATTTTTCTGCTCTGTCTGTTTTACTACCATTTAGGGAATAATTTAGGAAAGGTGCAGGCAGGTGGCAAGTCCTCCTTCCTTTTTCCATGGAAAAGGAAAAAAGAAGAAGTTTTTCTTCTCAGCTAAGCCCAAACGGGAACTAACGTTGAACCCCTGTGACTTTCCAGGAAGGCATCCCTGTGTCCTTTGAGCCCCCTGAGACGTCCCCCGGGACTTCGGTGGCCGTTGTGGATCTGATCCCCTCCCAGGTAACAGGGGGTCCGCTACCCTCAGTCTTCCGCCTCTTTCCTGGACACCCCATAGGTCTCGTCTCTCGGCCACGAGTTCTCTACGTTCTCTCTCTGGGACCCCGAAAATCACTGGGGTTGGCGCCCAGCCTGCAAGACCCGGGGAAGAAGAAATCTTGGGGCACCATCTCCTCCTGGGCTCTGGGCAGGGGATGGGGTTCTTGCTGGCCTGGGCATGTCCTTTGACCTCTTGGTACCCCCTTTCGTCCTGCTCCCATGGGGGCTTGTGGGGGGGTGTGAATGAGCTGGCTCATGGAGCAGCTGGCAGGGGCCTTGGCCTCCAGAATCTTCTAATTGGACCCCCATGAGTGTCCCTTCCTTATTCCTTCTCGCTGGCCCACCCTGGTCTCTTCTCCTGGCCGAGAGGGGCTGGTGTGAAGGACGCCCACCCCGGCAGGATGAGGAGGGCAGGGCCTGGGACCCTCGGGGTTGCTGGTGGGCAGCTGGCTGTGGGCTTTGACTCTGGTCAAGGTCTCAAGGCTGAGGGGGAGCCTCAGGGTCTCTGAGCTTGGCTCCGGTCTCCCCTCCTGCATGTGAAGGTGGCACCCCTCCTTCTCGGGGCCTCTGAGCCCAGTGAACCAGTAGCTGCCAACTTAGAGGTGAGCAGGGGTCCTGTGTGGCTGAGTGGTTGTGATGGTTGGGGCACAGAAATGCCTCCTTTCTGGGAGGAGTCCCCTCCCAAGAGAGATTCAGCGGTCACTGGACACATCACAAGTCCCTAGGGCCACTTGGTTATGCCAACCCGGGTCCTCTCTGCCACTACATATGGGGGGCTTGGGGATTGCCTGGGAGAGTGCTGAGGACCAGGCTGGATTGAAAAGGTTCCATGTCTGTGCTGTGAAACCAAGTTTATCTTCTCTGGAACATTCTTGGACCGCATATAGATGTGTGTATATCACGATTACGATCACGACCATCCTGTTGTTCGTCGATTGCCTCGAGCAGGCCCCAGTAACGTCTCCTTCGTTCTAGCCCTGAGATTTTTAAAAAGTGCCATATTCAAGGCTCTTTCGGACGTTGGAGAATGAGACCCATCATTGTTACTGGTATTTGTCATATTGGGTACGCCACGGGGACTTTGCTAGACTCTGCCATGTGGGCAGGTTACATTCGGTAGCCTGCCGGTTTGTCCAAAGCAAGAATGAGATAATAAGATATATGTATATATATACATATACATATAGATATAGATAGATAGATGTGTATATAATTTATTTATTCATTTTAAAGTGCTTTCAAGGTAGGTTTTAGTTTATGAAAGCACAAAGTCTTCTAAGAGGAAGGGCTGTGGCTGGAATTAGCCCTTCTCTGTGCGGCCCTGTTCAGGGAGGCCTGCTGCGGACGGGTGGAGGTGTCTGGACTCAACACATTGACCTCGCTTCTCCTGGTCAACTGCTCATATTCGCTTGGCATCAGCGCAAATGGGGCTCAGAGAGGGCCAGTGTTTTTGTCTCGGCCACACAGTCTCGGGAAGCAAGGCTGGGACAATGGACAATGGTAGTTTTGTGGGCAGCGTGCCGCGTTATGGGGGGAGTAGGTGGCAGCGCGGGGGTGAATAGGAACCTGGATGCTGGTCGGATCATTGGCTCTTGAGTCCCCTGAGCCCCTGAGATCACCTCTGTGGGGGGGGATCGGGATCCCTCAATGTCTCTGGACTCTCCCTGTGCCCACCCAGATCCGCCGACCTGCTGGAGGAGATGCTGAGGCCCCCGCGGGCCTGTTCTGGGTCCTGGACGAGGAGGTCCGCGTGGAGGGCTCCAGTGACGGTGCAGTGCTCGAGCGCCTCCGGGCGGCCTTTGAGAAGAGCAGAGTGGGGGCCGAAGAAGGTAAGGGACCCCCCCCCCCCATGAAGGGCAGGGTGGGAGGTGGAGTCCAGCCTGGGAGCTAGCTTCTGGCGGCCTGCAGGTCAAGGAAGAAATGCTCAGTGCAGCCACCTGCTTGAAATACTCTTCATTCATTGCTCGTCCTTTTAGGCCATGCACAGGGAGCCCAGGGTGCTGGCGGCAATGAGAATGACCCGTTCATTGGTGGCGCTGCTTCAACCCAACAGTTTTGGGGGCCAGCATGGCAGCCCTAGAGGGGCCCAGAGATCCCTCGGGCTGTGCCTGGCTGTGCTGGGGGAGCCCCGTCCGTGGGGATCGATTCAGGGCCCCATGGCGCTGACCTGCGTGTGGTTTCTCCTTTCCGGTTCATCATCCTCGTGTGTGCCAAGGATCAGAGGGGACATTCCTGGTCCACGGTCCTAGAGAGGGTCTAAGTTGAGCCCAGAGGGAAGGGGAGGGGAGAGATGGAACAAGAGGACAGAATGGAGAGTTGCAGAAAGATCAGAGAGAAGCGAGCACAGAGCACAGGGCCACATGCTCTTGCTTCTGTGTGCCAGCACACGGTCCTTCTTCCGTTCATTTGCTCCCTCTGCTGGGACGCCCAGGTGTCCTTCTGGGCGCGGGGGATACTGAGCATGGGGGAGATAGAACTGTACTCGCGGTGTCCTCAGGTCACAGGCAGCTCAGGTACTGAGAGGGGTACCCATGGCTGCCAGGTAGGCCATGGGTACAGGTCAGGTACCAGGCTGACACTGTTTGCAATCCCGTGCCAGCTGAACAGGAGTGTGTCCTTGCATCCTCAGTTGACTGAGGAGGGCCCAGAGCTGTGTACAGCACGCAGGACACTTGCCTTGCATGCAGCTGACCCATATTCAGTCCCCAGCACCCCACAAGGTCCTCCCAATTCTGCCAGGAGTGACCACTGAGTGCAGAGCCAGGAGGAAGTCCTGAGAATCTCTGGGAATGACCCTAGGAAACAGAACAACAGCTGAAGCAACTGTACAGCAGGGAGGGCATTTGCCTTGCACATGGCTGATCCAGGTTCGATTCCTGGCATCCAGTAGGGTCCCCCAAGTATTGCCAGGAGTGATTCCTGAGTGCATAGCCAGGAGTAATCTCTTAGCATTGCTGGGTGTGACCCAAAAACCAAAAAACAAACAAACAAAAAAAAACAAAAACCGAAAACCAAAACCTTACCAAAGAGGAGACAGGTTCTGGGATTTCAGTGGCAGTGAGAAGGTGAGGATCTGAGCTGAAGTCTCCCCATCCCGCTGGTCCATTTCCCACCCTGTGCCTTCTAACCAGACATCTGCACACACTCCCGGAGTCTGTTTGCATTGATTTCACAGAAGATTAGAGGTGGCACGTGAATATTTTTGAAAATGGAATAACCGTTTATTTTCATGAATATCACTTGTGCACTAAACCAGCAAGAGAGTCTGGTTTTTTTTTTTTTTTGGTGGGTGCCGGGGATGGAGCCCCAGGACTTCACGTATGTGTGGCGGGTGCTTTATTGATGAGCCACGTCCTGAGCCACTTGATAAATGGTTTCACCCTGGAAAATGTGAGGTCCTTTAAAGAAAACGTGAATAGCCCCAGTGGTACACAGGGATGACAAAAATATTCTATGCTTTCCTGCTGTCCACTGGACTGGGTATGTGTTGGGGTGCTTGCTTGGTGCGTGAAAGGCCCTGAATTCCATCCCCGGCACTGCAAAAAAAAAACACACACACACACAGAAGAGTCTATGCAGTAAGAATATCTGGGGGTTTGGGGAAGATATCCTGGACTTAAAGAATTCACAAAAGAGTCTATGCATGGGGCTGGAGCAATAGCACAGCGGGGAGGGGCATTTGCCTTGCATGCGGCCGACCCAGATTCAATTCCCAGCATCCCATATGGTCCCCTGAGCACCGCCAGGAATAATCCCTTGGTGCATGGGTCAGGAGTAACTCCTGTGACCCAAAAAGCAAAAAAAAAAAAAAAAATCTATGCAGTAAGAATATCTGGGGTTTGGGGAAGATATCCTGGATGAAAGAACCCACCAACCCTCTTCGGAAGTGATGCAGAGGCACCGTGCAGGCGGTGAGGCGTGTGGCTCGATCCGCTGGACCTCTCCGGAAGTGTTTTCAGCAACGTTGCCATTGCAGTGACATCCTGCCCGACATCTACTTTCAGGAACTTCAGCGCTCCGGATGTGTGAGCAGCCCCTCCAGTTCGAGCTCTCCCACCAGCTGGGACAGGACCCTGTACGCTATGACCTCACGGGCTGGCTCCACCGGGCCAAGCCCAACCTCTCGGCCCTGGAAGCCCCCCAGATTCTGCAGCACTCACAGAGGTGAGCAGGCCAGGGCTGGGGACAGGCCAAAGGGCTCTCAGGCACGGGGCGGGGGCGATTCCTCCCCATCCAGGCAGGGCATGTAGCAGCTGGGAGTTAGAGGGCCCGGCCCACTGTTCCCTGCATCTCCAGTGACGTGGCAGTGCTGCATTCGCAGCTCGGCCCTGTCCCTGGGGGGCCGCCCGCGGGAGTCCAGCCAAGGAGAAACAGAAGCACAGCGCCGTGACTTCTGGCTTCGTGCCTCTCGCTAAGTGTCTGCGGGATGATGTGACTGGAACAACTTTTATGGACCTCCACAAACGAGGGGGCCGTAAAACCAAATTGATAACGTTCTGTAGCCTTAAAAATGCTCACTGCCTCCCCTGTGGCTCTCAGCACACGTGCCAGTGGAGGTTCCGAGTTACTGGGAAAGGGCACTGTGTGCCTTCGTGCATGGAGACAGACGTGTCATGCCCACACGTGTACGTGCACGCTCGTCTGCAGCCTTTGGCCCCAGTTCACAGCAGGAAGCCTGCAGGGGCAGAGCTTGGAGTTGAGGAGGGGGAGAGCCCCGAGGAGGGCCTGGAGGGGGCGTGAGCATGGGAAAACCACAGCTCCAGACCCTCTACCGTGCACCTAGCCTGCGGTCAGCTCTTTTCTTAGGTGCTCTTGGCCCCAGTTTACAGATAAGAAAAATGAGGCAAGGCACCAGAGCAGGAAGCAGTTCTGCTTTGATCACAAAGGATTTAAAAAAAAGTGGTGGAAGCAGGACATAACTCAGGTCCAAGTGATCCCTGGAGAACCAGGCAGAGTGGGCTGACTGCCTCAGAGGGGTGCGGTTCCCGCGGTTCCTGCAGAGGGAGCGAGTGTCGTGTGTGTGTGTGTGTGTGTGTGTGTGTGTGTGTGTGTGTGTGTGTGTTTATGCACATTGGGAGACACTAAGGAGGGGTGCTGAGCACAGCTGGGACCCCAGTCACACCCTGCAGCTAAGCAGCCCTCTGCATCCCGGGTGCCTGCAGTTACCCTCCTGGCTCCTGTGTTTAGTGTTGGGCGTTGCTTCCTCCACCACAAAAATGCTGAGTTAGAGCCCAGCAAGCTATCGAGAGTATCTCGCCCGCACGGCAAAGCCTGGCAAGCCTCCCCTGGCATATTCGATATGCCAAACACAGTAACAACAAAGTCACACACAAATGCAGTAACAACAATGGAGACGTTACTGGGCCCGCTCGAACAAATCGATGAACAACGGGAGGACAGTGCTACGGTGCAGTGCTGTAGGCGGTGATGGGAGCATGTCAGAGTCAGCCTGTCCCTGTCTGCCTTCATCACCCCCCACCCTGGGTCTCTCTCTCTCTTTCTTTCTTTCTTTCTTTCTTTCTTTCTTTCTTTCTTTCTTTCTTTCTCTCTCTCCCTCCCTCCCTCCCTCCCCTCCCTCCCTCCCTCCCTCCCTCCTTCCTTCCTTCCTTCCTTCCTTCCTTCCTTCCTTCCTTCCTTCTTTCCTTTCTCCCTCCCTCCCTCCCTCCCTCCCTCCCTCCCTCCCTCCCTCCCTCCCTCCTTCCCTCCTTTCCTCCCTCCCTCCCTCCCCCTCCCTCCCTCTTTCCTTCCTTCCTTCTTTCCTTTCCTTCTCTCTCTTTCTCTCCTCTCTCCTCTCTCTCCTCTCTCTCTCCTCTCTCACTCTCTCTCTCTCCCCCTCTCTTTGTGAGGCAAGACAGTTTTTATTGAAACTTTTAGAAAGACGCGAGGGGAGAGAAGTGTGTGTTTAGGAGAGAACGGGGCTTCCCCAGAGAAACGCAGAGAGAAGCAAGGGAGACGTGCTCTGGGGTGAACAGGGGCGCAAGGGGGCGGCTTCTGTCCTGTCTAAGCAGCCTGAGGACTGAGGCTCCACCCACCCTCTGAGAAGCCCAGGGAGGATGCTGAGCTGACGAGGGACCGACTGAGTCAGGGAAGCCCTGCTGTGGCACCCTGGGCCCGTGGCCTCTGGGGCCCCGCGTGGGTGTGTTCAGGAGGCCCCATCAGTGTGGCTGGTCGCCGCAGAGGGAGGACGTGGGGGGCTGTGAAGCCCGCGGTGCCTTTCCCAGCCCAGGGACCACCTGCTTCGTGCGCAGCAAGGCTCTGCTTCATGGACAGGCTGCCCAGGTCCGTCCAGCGCCGGCGTGTCCTACGATAGGAAGAAGCCTCTCCCTTCCCCAGCTTCCAGGGGGCTCCCAGACATCCTCCCAAGATGCTGATGTCAGGGGGAGAAGAGGGGTCCGACTGTGCCCTCGACCAGCTTAGAGCCACTGTCCCCCCCATCCCCAAGTGTCTGGGCAGTCGGGCAGTACGTGGAGGGAGATGGTTAGTGAGGACCCTTGAGGGCAGCTGCTGGGGCGTGGCCTGGATTTCTAGGCTGTGCTGGGAGTTGGCTTTGTGCCCTGGTGGGGGGAATGGGGCAGGGGGACCCCAGGTGCCAGAACTTCTTGGGGTGTCGGCCCCATTCTGGGATGCAGAATTCAGCCTTTCACCTGAATCAGAGGGTGGCTCCCGGGGGGCAGGGGCTGGTCTCAGACTCTCTGAGTGTGGGGGGTGGGATGGGGGTCAGCACAAATGCCCCCTGGCCTTGCAGGGGGCTGGGGTTCACGGAGGCCCTTGCGGCAACCAGCCCGTCCCCAATCGGGAGTGGCACAGAGCCAGCCAGTGTTACCAGCAAAGGCTTCTGGGGCCAGGAGCAGGGGGAGCAGAGGGGTGCTGTGCTTTGGGGGTGCGGGTGGGCTGGAACCCTGGGCGCAGAAGAGTCAGCTAGTGGGGGTCTTCATTGCAGACCCCTCTGTTCTCCTCTTCCCCTCCTGCCCGCAGGGAGGAGCTCAGGAGTCTGTTCCAGGGCCGGGCCAAGCTGCCGCCTGTGTGCCGCGCCCTGGCCGGCCTGGACGGCACCTCCCAGCAGGCCCTCCAGCGGGGCTGTGCCCTGAGGAGGACGTTCGCCCGCGGCCCGTCCGCCGTGAGGAGGAGAGCGTCCTGCGCGCAGGTCCAGCTGCAGATGGTGCGTGGGGCCCCACCCCCTCCCCCGTCATGAGACCCCCGTGAGCCCCGTCCTCCCTCTCGCACTCCTCCTCCTGTCGAGACCCCCCTGTGCGCCCCACACCCCCTCCTCCAATCATGAGACCCCAGTGTGCCTCATCATCCCTCCCGGTACCCCTTCTCCCACCATGGGACCCCCCCCCAATGTGTGCTCCATCCTTCCCACCACCCCTCCTCCTGTGAAGGGCCCCTGTCCTCCTTATCTCCCCTCCATGCACCCCTTCTCCCACCATGAGACCCTCCGCATGCCCCTTTCTCGCACATTCTCCCCCTCCTCCTGTCATGAGAACCCCATGTTTCCTGTCCTCCCTCTCTGCACCCCTTTTCCTGTCATGTCCCCCGCCCCCCGTGTGCACCCGTCGTCCTGAGGGGCTTCTCACAGCAGCCTCTGAGCCCCGAGGGACAAGCACTGACCTCAGGCCCCAGAGCAGTCAGGCTTCCTGGCCACAGTCTCCCCCCAGCTGATCCTGCCAGGCCCAGCTCAGCCCCTGGGCAATGAGCCGAGGGCCTCTGGGAGACCACAGGAACTACCAGGAGACACCCAGCTGGCCAGCTCGGCCCCCTAGTCCTGTTCTTTGGGATGATGAGCCCCTTGTGGGTGCAGACGGTGGACCCAGCACCGACGGAGACTGTCCTAGACATTCAGATTCTGGTTGCAATGGGCTGAGAGTCCGGCAGGATGGCGGGAAGGAGTTGGGGAAATGCACATGGGTTGGGCTGGGGGCACATCAGCCCTCTCCCTTGCCCTGGTCTGTATCTGCCGCTGCCCTCAGTTTCCCCTCTCTCACGACAGGGCTGTTAGGAAGGTTTTAGGTACCTGTCAGGCTGTTGATGAGAGAACCCCGGGGTGAGATAAGAGATCCAGGGGTTTCCCCCCTCCGAAACCCAGGCCGGACAGGAGGAATGTCCGCGGGAACCCAGACCCCGGTCTGACTTGTCCTGGGACAGTCAGGCTGACACTTCCCCCCACCTGCCCCTTCCAGGACGCGCTGACCCACGTGCTCAGGAAGTCCCAGTTGCATTTCATCCACTGCCTGGTGCCCGGGCCGCGGCCCTCACCTTCCGCCCCGTCACAGCCCTGCGGGGACACAGCCGGGCCCCCGCCCGCGGACATCCCCGCATTGAGGGTGCAGCTGGCGGGATCCCACATCCTGGAGGCGCTGCGTCTGCACAGGGCAGGTAAGAAAGAGGCAGCCAGGAGCAGAGACGCTGGGCGCCGGCCCCTGAACCATGGGACAAGGGGGCTCCCACCTCCTCTTCCCGGCTGTCCCGACACGCTGGGTCTTGGAGGATTCAAAACACATCTTTGTTTTCTGGGGGAGGGGCCCTCCCAAGATGGTGCTCAGGGAGTCTGGGGGAGAGGGTGGTTTCCCACTGGTGCTTCTCAGCCCACTGGGCTGGAGGTACTGCTTGGTGCTTGGGCCCTGAGGAGCTGGAAGGGGAACCTTGGCATTGCTGGGGGCTACCAGGGCTGTACCCAGCGGTGCCGGGAACAGAGGCCAGGTCGGGCGTTCTGACCAGTGTGCTCCTTCCTGGTCCCCAGAGCACGCCTTGTTTTCCGATGCTCTGGGCTCTCCCTGACCAGTGACGGGCAGTGTCTCCCTCGGCTCCAAGGCACGCCTGCCTCAGGGTGCTGCCTCGGGGTCGACAGGGGACCCCACCAGGAGTGACGCTTTGGACGCCGGAGACGCGCCGCCTGGTGGAGGGGTGCAGTGGGAACAGGGTGACCATAGGACATGGCATGAGTAGCCATCCGTGGGGGCAGTCAGAGGAGGATTGGCTGCCCGCTTAGATATGGGAGACGGGGCGGCCGTGGCTAGCAGGTGACCTCTGACTAGGGCCTTGAAGGTGAAGGAGCAGCTCAGGGCTGGGGTGCGTGTGGAGGGGTCAGAAGCAGAGGCCGGAAGGCCTGGGAGAGCCTGGGCTTTTGGGAAATAATGTTGGGGAGTCCTGGGGTGCTGGGATCAAGTGGGGGAGAACTTGTGGTAACTCCGTGAGGAGGGTGAAAACAATTCTCTGCTTGGCTTTGGGCAACACCTGGGGGTGCACCTTGGAATTGAACCCTGGGCTCCCGCAGGCAAAGCTGCCACGCCAGCTTTTTTTTTTTTCTTTTTGGGTCACACCCGGGGATGCTCAGGGGTTCCTCCTGGCTCTGCACTCAGGAATTACTCCTGGTGGTGCTCGGGGGACCCTATGGGATGCTGGGAATTAAACCCAGGTCGGCTGCGTGCAAGGCAAGCGCCCTATCCACTGTGCTATTGCTCCAGCCCCTACTCCAGGTTCTTGGGCCATGCTTGGAAGCTTTGTGCAGGATTGGCGGCCTCCAGGGCAGGAACAGGGTTAATCTGAGGCACAAAGTCTTTAGGCTTTGGCTTTTGGAAGTGGCGAGGGGTAGGTGCTCTTCTCCTTGGGCATCTAGTGGCATCTGAAGCCTTCCTTTCCTCCCTCCCTCCCTCCTTCCCTCCCTCCCTCCCTCCATCCATCCCTCCATCCCTTCTTTCCTTCCCTTTTTGGGCTGCACCAGGTGGTGCTCAGGGATCACTCACGGAAGGCTCAAGGGACCCAACGAGGATCAAACATGGTGCAGCGTGTGCGGGAAAGCGCCTTCCCGCTGTCCTAGCTCTCTGGTCCCAGCCTCGCCTTTCTCCTCTGCCCCTCAGACCTTGGATGCTGTCCCCTGTCCCCTGCTCTGGTGGTTAGCGATGGCTCAGGCCCCGTCGTTCTGCAGCTGAGGGTGGAGGGTGGGCGGGGCGACTGGGGGGGATTGAGGCAGGCCCCTGTGCTCCCTGACCCCCAGCGTCAGGAGAGAGGATGGATACTGTTGAAGTGAGGACTTGTCTCCCTCCCCTGGAACATCGCGTCCATGGCCTCCCTGTCTGCACGGCCATCGGCCATCGTCTGTCGGAGAGGGGGCAGAGGAAGGTCACGGGGCAGAGGAGACGGTCACAGCCGGCGGCGGCAGCTGATTGATTCTGCCTATTCTGCCTGGCTGGCCAGCAGGGCACACTGGGTATTGGCAGGCGCCCTGGGCCGGCTGTTAGCGTCCCTGTGTGCCCACTGGCTGGGGGTGGGGGCGGGGCCGTGTCTGTCCAGGCAGCTGGGCACAGCCCCGCCAGGCTGACGCTCCTCAGCTCAGGCCGGCGCTCAGGTCTGCGGTGGGAAGCTGTGGCTTCCGCCTCCCTGGATTGGTGGTGGTTGTCTTTTCCCTCTGTTCTCTCACAACGAGAAGAAAGGTTGACTCGGGCTCCCGCCTGGAGCCCTGCATGTTTTCATGACCCGAATTCCACGCCTGTCAGGCCTTTTCCCACGCGTGTCAGTAATGCACACGCTGTGGGCGCTGTGTCCCGAGTGCTGATTGATGTGTGCGTGCGCGTGTGTGAGTACATGTGTGTGTGTGAGCATGTGTGCGTACATACATGTGTGTGTGGGCTGGTGCGTGCATAGGTGTGTGTGTGTGGGTGCATGTGTGTTGAGTGTGTGTGCGTGTGTGTGCAGGCTTGTGTTTGTATGCGTGTGTGCATGCATAGGTGTGTCTGCATTCCCGTTTCCGTGTGTGTGAGCATGTGTGCACACATGCATGTGTGTGTGTGGGGGGCACGTGTATGCATGCGTGTGCAGGCTGGTGCGTGCATAGGTGTGTGTGAGTGCATGTGTGTTGCATGTATGTGCATGTGTGTGTGTTCACGTGTGTGCAGGCTTGTGTTTGTGTGTATGTATGCATGCATAGGTGTGTCTGCATCCCCATTTCCGTGTGTGTCTGTGTGTGTGTGAGCATGTGTGTGCATGTTGTGTGCGGGCTTGTGCATGTGTGTATGTGTGCATAGGTGTGCCTGCATCCCCATTTCCCGAGAGTTCAGCTGCCTTGTGCTCCCTGAGCCCTGAGCTTGGCGCTGGGCCTGTCGTGCCAGAGCTAGGGGTCACTTGGGCGGGGAGAGCCAGCCTGGCTTTGAGTGTGGCCACGCCCCTTGCCAGCCACCCTTTGTTCCCTGGCAGTTCAGATCCCAGAGGGCCATGGACAGGGCTCCCAAGGACACGTGGGTCCCAGGAGCTCACCACATTTGTATGTGGGTCTTGGCATTGGATTTAGGCCTCATGGGCACGTCTTCCTGTCACCTGACTGGCAAAGACATTGGATCGCAAAAGAAGTTGGTGGGGGCTCCCCTGGCCCTTCTGTGGTCGGCACCATTATTATTATTATTATTATCTTTTGCTTTTTGGGTCACACCCAGCGATGCTCAGGAGTTACTCCTGGCTCTGTGTTCAGGAATTACCCCTGGCAGTGCTCGGGGGACCATATGGGATGCTGGGAATCGAACCCCGGTCGCCCGCGTGCAAGGCAAACGCCCTACCCACTGTGCTATTGCTCCAGCCCCAAAGTCAGCACCCTTAAAGCCTGGTCTGCGCCCTCTCTCTCCCCACTGTCCCCCTGAAGGGGTGCGTCCACCTGCCACCCTGCTCCCTCATGGCCTGTGTGCGTGGCTTCTTGTGAAGTGTCAAAGGTCAATTGATCTTTCCCCAGCCAGTGCCCTGACCCAGCCACCTGAGAGGACTTACAGAGGCTGCTGAGTCTCTGCTGTGCCCTCTGACCCCGTTTCCCGGGTGGAGTCCATGGCCTGCATGGCCGTGACAGACTTAATGTGTCCTGGAGACTGGGTCCCGGCTCAGTCACCTTGACCATACTTTGAGCTTTCTGCTGACCGAGTGGGAACCCCCACAGGAGCACCGCCACCCACACCACCCAGGTTGGACGCCTTCCTCGGGGCCTCAGTGTCCCCTTGAAAATGGGGCTAGTGGTCCAAGCCCCAGTGCACCTGCCCGATAGGGAGCTGGTGGCCTTGTGCCCTGCACATGGCGTCTGAGCTGTGCCACCGGGGCTCTGCCCACAAGCTGCTCCCTGGTATTTCCCCTCCAGCTCCCTCTGCCCAGCTTCCGTTGCCCCCCGCCCCAACCTGCCAACCCCCAGTCATCTGCTCTGTTTTATTTGTGAGTGAGGTGGGGGCTCTAGGGGATTCAAGAAGCAGTGCTCAGGACCTCTCCTGGCTCTGAGCTCAGGGATCATGCCTAGCAGTGCTCAGAGAACCATATGGGGTGCCAGGGATCAAACTCTGGTTGGCTGGGTGCAAAGCAAATGCCCCAACCCCTCTCATCCCCTCCGTCACCTTTCTCTGGGTATCTCCCCGTGCCTTCTCCCAGTTCCGTACGGAAAAGTTCAGCTGTGTCCCCCGCCAACACAAGAGCCGTCACCGATCTACTCTTCCGCCTCTAGTAGTCTGTGCTCTGAATTTTAGACCGAAGCACATTTGGTCCGATGTGGTCACATGGCCCCAAGAGCTGAAGCAAAACTAAAGCAGAATCTTTCCTGCGGGGCTCACAGTAGATCAGTTACGACACGCTCCCACAGCTCACCCTTTCCGAGGCTGAGAGAGGACAGAGGGGTGCCCGTGGGGGCCTGCCCCTGCCCTCAGAGGAGCGTTTTGTCAGGGTTCCCCTTCTGAGCTGGCCAATAGGACCTCGGCGTTTGGCACCTGGGGAAGCCAAGACCCCGAGAAGCAAGTCCATCAGAACAAGTCAGCGTGGCGGGGACCCCGAACCTCTGCGCGTGGCCTCTGGGCTCTGGCTGGCCTCCTTATTTGCCCCTGGTTCCTCCTCCCCAGGTTACGCCGACCACATGGGTCTCGCTCAGTTCCGCAGACGCTTCCAGATGCTGGACCCTGTGCTCACGAAGAAGCTCGAGTCTGCCTTGGAGAGAATGCCAGAGAAGAAGGTACAGGAAGTTGGGGGCAGGGGTCCAGGCAGGAGGGTGTCCTGGACACTTGGGAGCCATCCCTTGGCTTGCCCTAACGCCGGCCCATCTCTCTCACCCTTTACTAAAGTCAGGCAGATCTCCTGGGTGTCCGCCAGCTCATGGCAAAGGCCCAGTTGGTTCTTTTGGTGGAATGAGTGAATGAACCCTGACCCTGACCTCTTCTGACCTCCATTCACTTTCTCCAACTGCTGTGAAAAATCCGCGGTGGGGAGTACCTCTTGATTCCCAGATTGCCCACCCCTCCATCAGTGCTGCAGTGGTATATGGGCCCGGCTGGTCAAACTCTTTAAATATGAAGAGTCTGACCTGGTCCACTGCAGACCAGAGGCACAAGAGTCATTATGTCCCTTGGAGATGAGAAATCAGAGCCCCTTTGGGACAGGCGGATTCGTGTCAGGAAGGCCACGTATCCAAGTGTGGTTGGGGTTTTGTCCTTGGACAGGGGTTTGCAGGCAGGGAAGCTGGGGTAGGGCACAGGCGGTGGTGGCAGCTGGACCCCCAGTTCAGGTGCTGGCAGGCGACTTAATCTTGCCACCCCACTTTCCTCATCTGCAAAGTGGGAGCCACAGTGTCTGTCAGCTCTCTCAGGGGAGTGTCGTGAGGGGGACATAGGATGGTATAGTTGCTTGCGGAGGGTCCCAGGGGTTGTTGCTATGGGGCTTGGGGCCTGGGGAGAAGGACTCAGTGTGTATGGGCCACTGTCACGGTGCCATCGCATCAACACTGGCTCCAAAACCACCATCCAGCAGCTTCCCAGCCACAGAGCCACGGAGCCACGGGCTCCACATCTACATCCCGCTGAACCTCAAACTCTGGGTGAGGCTGTCCCTGTGCGTCTCTTGCAAGCCTCAGTTCTGGAATCCACAAGGAGTCGTGAGATTCCTGGAAGAGGACAGAGAGCTGCGATGTCTTAGGGTTCTTTTAGACTTTTCTCTGCAGTAGAGACCAGGGCCTGGCTGTCTGCAGCCAACCACGTGGCACATCCTGTGTGGCCCGACTCACTCACCTTGGCAAGAGACCTCACACCCGTGGGTCGGCACTTTGGAAGCCACACGACTCCCTCCTGCCCCCTCTGCCCCTTCGCCACTCTGCCTCGGTTTTCATTTGGGGTGGGAACTGCCTCTGTGCTGAGCATCTGGATGGAGCCATGGAACGTTCGCAGGCTCCTCTGCAGTTGAAAACCGCCCAGAAGCGGGGCGTGGGGGAGTTTTCTGTGGGGGCAACGGGTGCGGCATATGGAAGCGTTTCTATTCTGGACGACTCAGCAGTTCTCCGCTGCCTCCAAACCGCAACCACCTCCACGCGGACGCGGGAGGCCTCGGAAAATGGAAAATTACAAGCGGAATGGACTTGCCTGGGAGTTCTCGCTCCTCTTTATTCTTTGCCTGTTTGCTCACAAATTTCATTTGCTGCAGCATAGAATTTGGGTGGCAACGAAAGGTGACGCCACCCTGCCTCTTATGAAAAAGCTGATAAATATTCATTTGCCAGGCAATGTGAGCCGCCATGAATTATACATGAACACGTGCCCGGGTGGGCAAACTGTCAGCCTCTGTGTGCAAAGCAGTTAAGACCTCAGGATTTAATAAGACAAGTTTGACAGCTTGAAAAGGTCAATATTGTCATTAGACACTAGACGGCAGCAGAGGGGATTCGGCGCCGGTGTGTGAACCGGGCCCCGGAGAGATCTCCCCGGGTGCCTAACATGTGGCCGCCCGATCCGTGGCATTTCGTGCCAGCGGCTTTTCCCCAAGGAAGCCCTCTCGTTGGGCGGGTATCTCTGCTGGCTATTGTACCATCCCCGACAAAAGCAGCAGATGCTTTTCAACCACCTGTGTGCCCACGATCATCCCCAAATACCAAGCCTGGTGAGAAAAGGTGACAAGCCTTGTCCTGAAACAGCCTCCCCTAAACAGAGCTTCCTGCCGAGGCTTTTCTCTGAGGCCACTGCTGCTGCCCGGCTGGGTACCCGGGCAGCTGGCTACAAAATCAGGCGCTCTGGTTCTGCACACGGGGCTTCCCAAACTGGGGGCCAGTCAAGGACACAGAATGTACGTGGGATGGTTTGAACCACCGTTCTTATTTTTCTAAGTTATTTTACGGAGGTATTGTAGCCAACGTGGCTGACCCGAGTTCGATTCCTCCGCCCCTCTCGGAGAGCCCGGCAAGCTACCGAGAGGATCTCGCCCGCACGGCAGAGCCTGGCAAGCTCCCCGTGACGTATTCGGTATGCCAAACACAGTAACAACAAAGTCTCCAATGGAGACGTTACTGGGCCCGCTCGAGCAAATCGATGAACAACGGGAGGACAGTGACAGTGACAGTGATTGTAGTCTGGAACACCCATGAAGTTGTCATGTTCTTACTGCAGAGATCTTTCACCATCACTCCACCAGTGTTTTGAGATTTCTGCTACCATTCTCATCTCGCGGGGCCTTGGTTCCTTTCCCCTCCCCTCCCCAGTTCTTTTGATCAGATCTCAGGATTCGTTCACACTGGGGGTTGTCTAGGCCCTTGCTCTGTTTCCTTAGATGCAGCATATGACCGACATCACCAGTATTGAATGGGTTTTCACTTTCGGACTCACTTCACAGAGCGTGGCACCCTCTGCCTCCATCCAAACTGGGGCAGATTGCAAACTCTCATCCTTTGGTCCAGCTGAATAGTACTCCCTTGTGCCTATGCACCACGATTATTCACTCATTTGTCATTGGGCACTTGGGTTGTTTCCAGATCTTGGCTGTTGTAAATGGTGCTGCAATGAATATAGGAGCGATAGCACAGCGGGTAGGGTGTTTGCCTTGCACGCGGCTGACACGGGTTCGATTCCTCTGTCCCTCTCAAGCTACCGAGCTACCGAGAGTATCCCGCCCACATGGTAGAGCCTGGCAAATTCCCCGTGGCGTATTTGATATGCCAAAAACAGTAACAGCAAGTCTCACAATGGAGGCGTTACTACTGGTGCCCGCTTAAGCAAATCGATGAACAATGGGAGAACAGTGATATATATATATATATATATATATATATATATATATATATATAATTTGATCTTGGGCTAGATGTCCATGGGTAGATTTGCTGGGGCATATGGAAGTTCTGTTCATCCTGTATGGTAACCACCTTTAACCTTGCCATGTTAAGTAGGGCATTCTACAAAGCCATCCATCTCCAGAAACATTTTTCCATCTTGTGAAACTGTCCCCATTTCGACAACCCCGTTCTTCCTGCCCTGGCCCCAACTCAGGCTGCCAGCTAGGCCCCGGACTGCTCTCACACCTTGCTGCCATGGGCTCAGCCAGGCCTGGCTGCTGGTGCCTCACCCACGACCCGGAGTGCCGTGTCCTCAGGACTTCCTCATGCTTCCAAACGGTCTTCCTTGTTCTAGGCCCATTCAGGTGCTGCTGTGTGGTCACCCCACCTGGCCTGTCCATTCGCCTGGCAGTGGGTGCATGGGTGGCACGAGCCTCTGAGCCACTGTGAAGGATGCTGCTGCTTGCATGGGGACTATACAGACAGCTGTGTCAAGACCCTGCCTTAGGTTCCTTGGGGGCACAGACCCCGAAGTGGCGTGTTTGGGTTGGATGGTGTTGGCCTGTGTCTTTTGAGGCCAACGTTGCTTTCCACTCTTCGTGTTACTTCCTGTTTGGTTGGAAGGAGCCATCCTGAAGGCAGGGCGGGGCTTCCCTGGGCGTTAGATTTGTCTTTTCCCTTAGAGTGAGGCTGGGCCCCTTTGCAGGCTAGTGCGGGACTTTGGAATGGAAATGACAAGCAGAATGATAAGGTGACGTTCTGTAACAGGACACACCGCCCAGGGTGTTGCTGGGAAATAATGATCGTTGGATCTATCCTGTTTCAACCAATCTATCCTGGTTCCTTTGCACGGAGCCCTAAGATCGCTGCCAGAGATAAGGGATGAACATAGAGAAGAGCCTCATGGAGGAGACTGAAGCCAGACATTTCCTCATGGGGGGCTGGGAGCAAAGGAGGTGGGGTGTGCGAAGAAAGAGACAGTCAGTCCTGGGTGTAGAGGCCCACAGCCATGGCAGGCACGGTGATCCAGAGTTGTGAGTTTGCATGGCTTATTTAGCATAGCTGGCACAGCTTAAAGGATGCCCAGTGCCAAGAAAAGGGATTAAGGTTGTTGGCTGGGGGTCGAAATATGTGTCACTGAAACCCGGGCTAAGAGTCTGGCTTTGGTGGTCAGTGGTGGTCCACAGTCAAGTTTTTCATGGGTCCCTGGGCTCCAGCATGGAAGAAACAGATAATCTTTTTCTTTCTTTCTTTCTTTTTCTTTTTGGGTCATACCCAGGGATGCTCAGGGGGTTCTTCCTGGCTCTGCACTCAGGAGTCACTCCTGGAAGTACTCGGGGGACCATATGGGATTCTGGTGTTCGAACCCGGTCATCTGCATGCAAGGCAAATGCCCAACCCACTGTGCTATGGCTCCGGCCCAAACCAGATCAACTTTGAACTGCCTACCCAGTATCAAGGAGGCAGTGGAGTCCCTCTGTCCACGGCATAGTCGTCTGGTGGTGCCAACTTCTCATGCTGGCCGGCAGTTGTCCCACTGTCTCTTCTCTGTCTGGGTGCCTCCTGCTCTGGTCTCAGAGTGGACCCTCTCCCCCTCCCCAGTCATCCCCAGGACCCCCTCTCTCCATGTTGATCCCTTTAGCATCATGCCAGAGTAACTCAGACAGGATGTCCGGTGGAATGGCTCCTGTCTGTCGCCTCAGCTGTGCCCCCCCACCCTTCCAGTCCTGTCAGCCTCTGCTGCCACGAGAGAGTTGTCCTATCTCTGATGGATGCAAGGGAACCCATGCTCCCGCCCTCTGGCTTGCTGAGTATCCCGTGTTGATTGATTTGAGCCCAGGAAATCTCCCTCCCTGGGGGCTGGATCTGACACACCCAATTAAAGGCACGTCAATCTCCCTTTGCCAAGGCAGCCCCTCCGCTTC